ATCTACAACCGGTTATGACGCGTGTTAAAAGCAGAGATAACGTTATTCCTCCGACGTAAGGGCGAATCTCAATTTACACGCGAGCCCCATCTTACATATAAAACCATACCCTCTGGGGCTCATGCGGAAAAAGAGATACGCCCTTACGTCAGAGGAGCGGCGATAAGTGCGTAGTGTTTCCTATTTGAATATCCTATATAAATTTTCAAGAATTCATATTCAACCCACCTTGTGTGACTGATAAGCGTGTAATAATATGTTCGTGGAGCGTACCCTTTTTCCTGTCCCTGGCTCGGGCAACGGTAAAGTCGCCGCAAAACTATATGACTTCGCGCAATTAATTATTCTTGACTCTGCTCGGTTTTAATGATAATTAAAGGGCATTTATTACAACAATTCAGAAACTCGGACGATGTTAAATTTTTCACTGATTTAAAAAAAAAAAAGAACGGATTAAAACGAACTGAAATATTCATCAAAACCAAAAATTATTTCATTCTAAAATTAAGTATACCTCATATCGTAATTTTTGAGGGGTAAAATAAAACTAACACTGATAGGAGGTAAAAATAGGGCCGCGAAGCGGCCCATTGACGGTGTGGAGCGCCTTCAGGAGGTTGGACCGCGTAGCGGTCAGGGCCCCTAGTATTTGAATATTTGTCTAGGCATTTGACAAAATGCCTAATTTTACTATTTGCCTGCGACATATCGATTGCAGTGTTTGAACATTTCTTCCCCCCCCCTCCCCTTGGCACCAAGTTTTACGAAAATCCGACGAGCAGGAACCGAGATAGCGTTTTAAGCCACGCTCGCCATCTTGGTTTTTCGAATTTTCGAAATTAGACTAAAAATTCGAATTTAATCGATGGAATGGGAGCCGATGTATCAATTTAGGCTACGTCCGCCGTCTCAAATTTTCAAATTCAGAAAATTCAACTTGAAACGCATCATACCCAAAATCTAAGCTCAGATTCGGCTTCCTCGTGAAAAATCGATGCTAATTCATGTACCATATGTTACCATAGCATAAAGAAAAGAGGGTAATCGTAGGCGAAGATTCTATCAAAGCCGGCCGGTATGCGGAAGAAGGCACAGAATTCTAACGTTTGAGCTACGCCGCCAGGCACCGGCGTCAAGCATTTGGTTCGTCCGTTTCCGAGAAAACAAACTTCTTCTTACTCATCAGCTGACCCACTCCGAATCACTCACGTTGCCACGTCGGACTGATATGTTAGAATATACACGCCTACGTTAATCTCTTTCCTTCATGATATCGTCACCTTCCAGGCAAAGTATCACAAGCGCCATGCGACGTTTAAAAATTTCCGCCGCCATTTTATTTTTTTACTGAGAAATTTTTGGTTGAATCTGTTCGAAAATTTCACTAAATTTTATCGGCAGCACAAAGAAAATTCGGTGTAATTTTCGGACAGGTTCGTTGAACAATTTCTCTGTAAAAAAATATAATGGCGGCGGAAATTTTTAAACGTCGCATGGCGCTTGTGATACTTTGCCTGGAAGATGATGATATGGTGACATATGATACATGAAATTGCATCGATTTTTCACGAGGAAGCCGAATCTGAGCTTAGATTTCGGATATTATGCGTTTTAAGTCAAATTTTCTTTTATCTATTTTAAATCACTCAGGAAAATCTGCGGAAACTCATTAGAATAACAGTGTGTATTCTTTTAAAAACATTGATCAAAAATAAAACATTGACGGTATTTGAATCCATTAATCTCGGAGATAACTTGAACACGGTTGTTCTACGACTTTTTACGTATGTTGTTTTCTTCCGCATTGGTTGTCGGCAGCGTAGCGGCCAAAGGCCCCTGGTACTAATAATAGTTTTCAAAATCAATATGTTTCTACATTCAAAATTCTAAGGAAATGGCAGAAATTTATCAATTGTTACTAATGTTTTAACAATGTTTTTTGTCAATTATATGCTGTCGTTAAGCTAAACATCCCAGGTTTACCAGTAGGCTAGGCATGCTCTATATTTAACACCATGTCAAGGCTTCAGTACTTTAGAAGGGTAATTTTTTTATTTTCTATTCTACATAATCTCACTTGTTCAAAAGTAAGTAGCCTGGGCTTATTTGTCCAATGCTAGAAGCACTTTAGCCAATCATAAAAATAATCCTAGTTTGAAAATTTTGAATTGATTCTCAACATAAAAAGAAAAAAAGAAAAAATAGATAAATAAAATGCAGTTATAAATAACAACGAAGAGATATTTAATGAAGTATAAAAATTAAAATGAAGTGACTGAATTAAAGTAAAAAAAATAAAAAATTGCATGAAATAAAATAAAGTAAGTAACGGTAAAATACAGGGAAGAAATAAAGAATAAATAATCAAAGAAAAATAATATTAAGTAAAGAAAAAACAATAAAGTGAAACATTAAAATTAAGTAAAGAAACAAAGGAAAAAAAATATAATAAAGTAAATAAATAAAAATGAAATAATCAAGGAAAAATTATATTACGTAAAGAAAAAAAATAAAGTAAAAAATTTAAAATGAAGTAACGAAATAAAATAAAGTAAAAAACTGAAATAACGTTAAAAAATAAAATGAAATACAAAAATTAGAAAAATGAATGAACCAATCCAAGTATGTAGATTGAATATCCTGGTTTTCCGTTCGCATCAAAGCTATGTACAGGTTTTTCGATCAAGATTCTCATCCTAGTGTATAGCTCACTCGTTAGGGTCTTCGGCTAGGGTTGGATAGGTCCCAGGTTCAATCCCCACGGTAGATTAAAAAATTGATAGATCGGATACAACTACAGCACCTCACAAGTCACAATAAGTACTGTTGTCTCATTTTACTCGATTTCGAAATTTATTTACGCGATTAACCCTTTTCCACCATCCCCTAGCTGCGAACCCCGACATTGCACACCTTTGTATTCAATTTTTTTAGCTGTACGTTTCACAAGAAAATACTCCTCTTTATGGCTAAAAACACAAAATATTAGGTTCTCCTTGCTTTCATGATTGATACACTAAACATCCGGATGGGTCAGTTTACCATCTTTGAAGGTCTATCTCAGCAACGTTGTGCAGGACGTCTACGGAGGACGGCGCGCCCGCCCAGCAGTGTTGGTGCGAATTACCATCTTTGTTGTCAACGCCTACTTGATCGCGGTTTGAGGTTTCTAACCATCATACATTTGTGCTCGTCGCAAAATTGTTCTCAGGGGTCGAATCAGGGAATCCAAGATGGTAAATGTCACCTACTATCTGGCTATAAGCACCAAAGATTTTTTTCCGTGCAATGTAATGGTGGTGGTCCCAATTCTTCACAGTTCCTATTGAAATGCCGTGAATATTGCCCTGGCACATTTTGTTTGTGGTGCAGTCTCCTGCATTCAGTTACCCTTCATTTGAGAGCGTAGGCAATATCGACGGCGAAAGTACCAGACCACGTATCTCGGTTAGCGACGCTGTAGATTTCCAGTCATACTTTATTTTTTAAATAGAAAACTACTCAAAGTTAATTCTTGAAAACTGCCCTATTTTTTCTTCTCTTTACGGAGAAAACTGTGAAAATTTCAAGAAATTTTACTGTTTTGTTCTCCTTCAAAAAAATAAAATAGGATTGGAGATTTTTAAACACCGCAAACGAGATACGTGGTCTGGTAGTTTCACCGTCGATAAGCGCTCTCGCAAGAGTTCAAATAGTGGTATCGTTTCAACGTTTTTTTTTCTTTTTATTCAAACGTGTTACCAATGCTTTTACCCTTCCTGATACAATATATAAACAGAAGAGAATGTACCATAGAAATTTTACATGCAATTTGGCCCCTTCCTCTCTCTCCTTATCCTTCTCTTCTCCTCTTCCTCTTTTCATTTAATTTTTTCCTTCTCACTCTCTTCCTCTTCTTCTTCACTCATTTTTCTTCTTCCCCTTCTTCGATCTTTTCTTCTCCTTCTGTATCTTTCTTTGCTCCCTCTTCTCCTTACTTTTCCTCTCCCACTTTGATTTTCCTTGTGCAGATAGGCAATTTTATGATTGAACCAGAAATGAGGGACTTGGAGGACACAGCTCATAAGTGCAGTTTTTGAACTCATTCAGATAATAATGATTTAAAGTAAAAGTAGTCTTAATGCAAATTCTGTGAAAAATTCGCTTTCATATTCCACTTTTTAAGCATCAAAAAGTAGGTTTGAACTTTCTTTCCGCCATGAGGTGAGGATCCATGTAATTTCGAAACTTCAAACGCGTAATTCTCGAAATAGCAAAAACTGCATTTATGCGCCCTGTCTTTCAAGCCCCACAAATATAGTGGTAAAGTATACTCCGTTTGCAATTCATCTTAAAGTTAGTCTTTGTGCGTACCTTAAACTTTCCTGGAAAACTATGTTCCCGATTTTGATTTGTTCTCCCGTGTCTTCTTCGGCTCCAAGAATCTGGATATTGAGAACATAGAGCGGCATCTTGACAATGCTACGTATGTAAAGTTGCATATGATGGCTTTTATCAGTAGTGACGCGAGTATA